ATCTTCTAGATTCTAGTGTTGCTTTTGCAAAGTGTTAAGCCACTCTGGTTTCTAATGCTTTGAATTAAACCTGTTTTCTCTCAGGAAGCTTGTAGGATTTTTCTGATCCCAGTGTTTGATATAAAAATTCACCAGATATACCTTGGTGTGCATCTATTTTCATTCATGTACCGGGTAGGCCCTTTGATTCTGAAAACTCAGCCTTTTGGTTCAGGGAAATTTTCTTGAATGATTTCATCAATGATTTGATTCTTTGTTTTCATCTATTCTCTCTTTTCAAAACTCATTATTTGAATATTGAACCTCCTGAACAAAATCTCTTCTTTCAACTTTACCATTTCCCATCTTTATTTTTTATTCTATTTTCTGAGAGTTCCTTAACTATTGATCTTCTAAACTTTTTTCTTCCCCTTTTACTATCACAGTTTTAATTTCCAAGAGCTCTTTTTTGTTTTCAGGGTGTTTTCAAATAGTATCCTGTTCTTATTTCAGTTTGTGCTATATGCTTATCTCTGAAGATCTTCATGAGGTTTCTTTCCCTTTTTGAAGTTTACTTCTCTGCCTGCCTAACCTGTTTATCCAAGTTGTTTTGTTTGGTTGGTTCTATTTTCTAGAGTTTCCTCAGCTGTCTGTTAATCTGTGACTGTCAACTTTAAGAGTAAGAAATGGAAAAGCTGAATGGAAGTTCTGAGTATATAGATGAAGTCTGTCAACTGTGAGCTTCACTGCAGGGTGATCTGGAAGCGCCATTCAGTTTGGGAAACTCTAGGTCTTTCTTTTCGGGCCACTCAGAGTCTCCAGAGAAAACGCTCCCATTTTTTTGCCTGGAGGAAAAAGATCTGTCTGCCAGTGTTCTAAGAGCCAAGTGGAAGAAGACAGCTGGGAACCTCAGCATCCACTATGGACACAATGATGAATCCTACTATCTTCACTATACCTCCACCCTCAACTGTATCTAGAAGACCTCAGTCCAGAGATCTTTTATTTTTACCTCTTCAGAAGTAAAGTCTTTTGCTTTAGTGACGGAGGGTCACATTTCCAGCTGCCCAGTGTGGAAGGGGACCTCACAGCTTCCTATATAGACATGAACCAATCCCTATTTTCACCTCACTCATCTTTCTTCCGAGAATGCCTGGTGTCACTGACTACGGAACCTCTGGGGGAATTCTGAGGTATCAATCAGATTGGTTGGTTCTCAGATGTCTCAATACTGGCCTAAGATTCAGTTTTCTCATCCATTTTCTGGTTTCAAGAATTTTATCATTGTATCCTCTCTTGTAAAAACCTTAAAAAAAAAAAACAAACCTTTGTGCCATTTGAGTGGTTTCAGTAAGGAATGGAAGCAGCCATGTGTTATGTTTAATTTGCCATCTATAGGAGAAGTCTCACAAAGGTTTTTAGGATGAACATTCAATGCTGATGAACAGAGTGAAATAGGTGCAGTGCTGATAATAGGACCAGTAACTTCTACTCTCTGGAAAACCAAATTGCTAATATAGATCAAGAACCTAAAATGTTTATATCCTTCAACCCAACAATTCTTCTGTAAGGATTCTAGATTACTATGGAGAGAATTAACATCCTCACAATATTGAATCTGCCCATTCATGAATACATCTCCACATTTATTCAGGTCATACATCAGCTCCCACCTCCAATACATTTTCTTCTCAAATCTATCCCTACTTAGGGGCAACATCAGTATTTCTTGCCTGGATTACTGCACTGGCCCCCATTACCAAGCACTAGAATGATCTTCCAAAAAACGCAAATCTGACCGGCAAAGCCATGGCCGAGAACCCCTTACTTGAAACCCCATGTCCACATGATGAAGCCACGCTCCAACAGGCAAACTCTTATCTTCCTTCAAGGATCACCACTTCTACAAATGCTTTCCTGACCACCCCCCCCCAATGACCCAGTCTGCTGTCCTTTTGAAGCACCTCTAACATTTACTCACCTCTATTCTCCACTCAACTGCACATACCCAAAGGCAGGGACCGGTTTATTTGTCTTCAAGGTGTTGGCCAAAGGCCCGTACACAGAGGGAGTTCTAGCCAGTACTTGCTGAATGATCTAGACCCAGCCTTAATTTTATAGATGTGAAAACTGAGTTCCAGAGAAGCGTCAAGTAGCAGGGCCAGAAACAGAACTTAAGGCTCCTGACTCTTCATCTCAACCTGCACCCTCACTTTGGCCATGTCCCTTTACCATTTCCTATGTAGTTATCTAAAAAGGCTCTCCTCACATTCTGCAGTCATTAAAAATGACCCAAATGTTCATCGAGTGGTGAATGGATAAATAAAATGTGGTACTTCCATAAAATGTAGTATTCCACCATAAATTTAGGAATGAAGTTCTGACACATGCTACAACATGGATGAACCTCGAAAACATTATGCGAACTGAAAGAAGCCAGATGCAAAAGACCACATATTATTGCATGTATGTGAACTGTCTAGAAAAGGGAAATCTCTAGAGACAGAAGGCAGATGACTGGTTGCCTGGAACTCGGGGTTGGAATGGAGACTGACTACAAAAGGGCACGAAGGATCTTTTTGGGGTGACAAATGTTCTAAAACTGGATTGTGGTGATGGTAGCACAACTCTGTAAATTCACTGAACTGTGTGTACTTAAAATGGGTGACTTTTATGGTATGTAAATTATACTGCAATAAAGTTGTGGGGTTTTTTTGTTTGTTTTAAAAGATGGTTATAAGCAATTCATAGTAAGGAAGCAAAAATCATTCTAGACCAGCACTGTCCAACAGAAATATAATGCCAGCCACATATATACTTTTAAATTCTCTAGTAGCCACATTAAAAAAGTAAAAAGAAACAGGTGAAACTAACTTCAATGTATTTTATTTAATATATCCACAGTATCACCATTTCAATGTGTATGTGGCATACAAAAGTATTATTAGTGAGGTATTTTCACACTAAGCCTTGACATCCAACATGTGTTTTATACTTTCAGAACATTTCAGATGAGATTAGCCGTGTTTCAGGTGCTCAGCAGCCACATGTAGCTAGTGGCTACCAAACTGGACAGTGCCGTTCTAGACCATTTAAACTTAAAAAGAGATTATAAAATCCATACACTGATTATTCTTATGTCAAAATTTATGTAGAAAAATAACAGAAACATAACAAAGTGTGGAGGAAATAGAGATGACCACTCTAAATTTCCATTTTCTGGAAAGGGGGCAGGTTTCTTTTATAATGAAGATAATACTTACGCTACATAGCTATAAAAAGAAATGGCCGCCTTCCACCAAAGGGGAAGGGGGGAGGGGGTGGGCTAAAGATAGCTCCTTGGGGAGCTTCAGCTGGCACAACTGCAGCCTGCCAGCATGAGAATATGAAAATCAGATGCCTTGGATTGAGGGGATACTGCCAAGTCCAGAAAGCCTGGAGATGCTGGGAACCACCTACAGGAGGGGCAGGGCTGGGGGGTGAGGGGAGGGCGGGGGGGAAGCAGCAACTGGCCAGAGAAGCTGGTGAGCCATGAGCAGGACAAATGCTGTGGAGCTGGAAGCAAAGAGCACATGTTTAAAAATCTGTATTAAAGTTTTCTTAAAAAGAGGTAAGAGTTAAACAGCTATATATCTTATCTATCGAAATCCTTAAAGATCCTCTTCCACTCTTACCAATTTTTCTTGACACTGTACGCAAGGACCAATGCTGTGCTATGGGTGAGGAAGAAAGGAGTGTGAGGAAAAGTCAGACCCAACGCCTACTTAGGAAGAGCAGAAGTGGAAGGGCCCTCGATCACCTCTACCTCTCGAGTCCAATAGTTCTTAAAAGGAGTGAGGCAGTGAGAGAAAAGGATACCCCACCCGTCCCACCACCTTGAGTGGAGAAAGGCTGCCTGAACTGTTGTGGGATATACTTCCTCTAATTCCCTAGATCCCTCAATGCTTAGTTAAGTATCACTAAGTATCACTAAAGTATACAATAAAAAATATTACAAGGTATGTAGTGTATCAAAACAAGCTGAAGGCAAGAAGAAATTTGAGTGAGAACCACTGGCCTAGTCCAAAGCCCTACTGTACAGATGAGTGGGGATCTCAAGGAGACATTAATTCAGTATGCAGTGACTGCCTACCATGTCCTATGCATTAGACCAAGTGGCAGGGCAGCCAAGGTCGTGGTGGTGGGGAGCACCGGGGGGAGGTTGAAGGAAGTGGGAAGGAGGAGTAGCACAGAATAAGACTTAAACACAGGTGGAGGATGTACTAATTACTGTTCGTACAGAAGTGCTGATCAGGCTGTCTTAAGAGCCACATCAGAAAACCGGCTGATGCTAATGCTAGAAATTCCCTTATAGGCAAGCCAGACTGTATAAGCAGCAAAACATTTTATGGAGTGGGAGAGGAGTCCACAGAGGAGGAGGACAGGTTCAGTCTAGGACTCTGGGTTTAACTTTTTTTATTTTAAATGTTGATAGACATTAGCACTTCTTTAAGAAGAGGTTATGTACCACCCCCCAGCTTGAGATATGACATAAAATCGTTTAAGTTTAAAGTGTACAACATGTTGACTTGATACACTTACATGTTGCAAAAAAAATTACTACCGTAGAACTTACGACCTATTACATAATTTAAAAAAAACACCCATTGCTCCCAGAAGGGCTACTATATAGAACATGTCAGAGACGGCTAGTAACCCCCCAATATTCATTCTCACCCTCTTTCACAACAATATGAATTTGTAACTGGGACATGACCATCCAGAGTAAGAATCACATTTTCCAGTCTTCCTTGCAGCTAGATGTGGCAATGTGACTAAATTGTGACTAACAGGAGATGAATGGAAATGATGTGCGTCTTTAGGAATAAGGAGACTTGTCTTGCCCTGTCCTCCCACTTCGCTCTTCCACTGGCTAGAATACAGACATGAAAAGAAGCCATCCTGAGGTGCTGCCCTCAAACACATGGCCCAGAGGGCTCACCATCACATTGCTTATCTAACTACTATGATGTGAGGTCTCTATTAGAGTTGTCAAATTAAGATAGAAGAAGAATGAGAAAGAGGCAGGGGTAGATTCCAGATGATGACCACCACCACAGCCACCACAACCACGACCACAACCACCACGAAGGACACGCTACATCATTTCTACCCCTTGGTCCTGTTTCCTGAGCACTCACCGGCACACCATGGGACATGAGGGTGTTGGGATTCATTAGGGTGACAAGTTGGTGCAGGAGGTCAGGCTGGCTATCAAAGAGCTCAGGTGTCAGCTTCTTCATCACCTCTTCCAAATGTTCTGCCGCAAGGGAGGGTACCCCATACCAGGTCTTCGGCTCACCCCTGGCCACGTGGAAAGGGGACACACAGAGTGGTCACACACGTGGTCCCGAGGGAGCCTACCCTGCCTCCCTGGCTTCCCAGGACCCCCACTCACCAATGGAGGTAGTTAATGGAGTAACTCCAGTGATCCTCAATATGCCAGCAAAAGGCTGAGAAGACCATGCCCACATAGAGCCAGGGCACCTTCATGCCGGAAATATCCGCATTGATGTGGCACAGCACGGACTGCTCCAGGACTGGCATCACATTCAGGTTCCAGCCGCTGGTGGCGTACTCCTGTCAGGTTGGGTATTGGTGGAAAGGGGATGAGGCTTATGCTAAGGAGCTGAGCTCTTTAGCCCAGGGAACCTTAATTTTGAGGTCACAGACCTCTTTGACACATCTGAGAAATATTATAGATGTTCTCCACCTCCTACCTGCCAAATGCACACACACAAAATTTCAATTCCCTTCAATTTAGGGAGTTTTACAGATATACTCACTCACCAAAATACCTGCAAGCTAAAAGCCCCCACTCTGGACCAAAATGCTCCCTTCTCTGGAGGTAGGCCTGGGCCCTCATTTTTTCCCACATATACCAGTCCCTGAACACTTCTTATGAATGAGCCAGGCACCCTTCCAAGTATTTCATACACCTTCTCATTTAATTCTTACAACAAATTTGTAAGGTAGATACGATCCCCATCCTACAAAGAAATAGCCAATCTCATGCTTAGAGATGCCATGCCAGATACCGGGCTGTGTTCTTTACGTATACCATCTTATCTAAATCGCACAGCAGCTGTGGGAAGCGGGCATAATTACCCCCACCCAACAGAGATACTAAATGACTTGCCAAAGCACACACAGCTGACATATAACCATGAATCATCCACTCACCTCCTCCTCGGGGGTTAGGTGCCGCTTACTGTCACTGACAGGGAAACCGCTGCCAAATTCTTTGGAATGGATGTCAGCCCCATACTCAACAGTCACATCTTCCTCAATGCTGTTCACCAGCCGCCAGAACTCCTTCTCCACGAGTTCTGTAGGCACCATCTGGGGAACAGGGGTAGCAGATGACCGTGGCCCATCACATCCTGGCCCCAGTGACTCAAAAGAGCTAAGCCCATCAGGCACCAACACCTATGACGCTAGCCCTGATGCTACCCCAGCCCTCCATCACCTACGTGCACGGGCATGTTGAAGTAATCGGCTTTAAAGGAGTCAGCCATCTCGCCAAAGCTCTGCAGAGTGTACTCCCGGGTAGCCTGCTCAAAGCCAAAGGCTTCAGGGGGGCGCTTACACTCCTGAAACCCAAAGGAGAACATGTCACCAAGACAAAGGGCACAGAGGTGGAGTATCCTCAAAAGCGAAGCTGGAATATGGGGGAGGAGCAGGGAGGAAGAGCAGCCCTAGGTCTGCACTCAAGGCCCCGGAGGCAGGCCTCACTTTACAGCTCCACCTTTTTCTCCCAGAGCTTCAGCTTAGTCTTTTCATCCCCACATGCACTGCTGCCACGCTTTTGCTCTTCTTCCTTTAGGACTTTACTACTGAAACCACCACCTCTGACTTAAATACACTATCCTATGCTCTTCTGCTACCGCTTTTTCCTCTTGAGCTAAAATAGGGAGTTAAAACAGAATGCCTAAGGAAGCTTTCTTATGCCCAGACTGGAACTACAAGCCTGGGAAAATGGCACTGAATATTCTAGTAGCTCAGAGGATGGAAGTCAAAGGCACCAGCTTCTACATCATCAAACCCTACAACATTCCTGTTCTTTAGACGGTCTCAGAAGATAGGACGTGAGACTACCTTGCTTTGTACCTAGGTTCACGATTTTAGAAGAGAGCTATATGTACCCCAGAGTTAGACAGACTCACTCATGTCTGAAAAAAATCAATGTCAATCTGGTCCACTGGCCCACAACCACTTAAAGAGAGCCAAGTAGGGCTGACAGCCTTCACTGTCTATCATACTATTGGTGTCCAAACTCCTCCCTGAAGGAAATCTCCACCACTTCCAAGGCCATTATGCACTGCCCTGGTCTCTTTCCTCAGCTGTGTGTGTGTGTGTGCGTGTGCGCGTGCGTGCACGCACAGCTGGTCTCTAGGACCACAGATGAGTCCCTGACATAAGACGAGAGACCATCAACATCTGCTCTCCAGAAACCCAGAGTTAAATATAGATGAGCGCCCAGAATTTGGATGAAGGAAGGAAGCAAGCTCATGAAACGGACCTGGCCAACTTACCGGGCCTCTCAGCCCTCACTGCTGCTTCAGATGCTCTCCTGACTGCCCCTCTTGCCCTCCTAAGTACCTCCCGCCAAATACCCTTGTCCTGGCATGCCTCCATCCCCAAGTTTACTAGCCCTGCCCACCTCTTCTAGTTAAAGCCTGTATCACTGCAAACTTAATCAAATTATCAAAACAAAAGGAAAACAAACTAAGTATTATACCCATATGATGGCCCCCCAACAACAAAAAAAAACAAACACAAATCACTACCCATGAATAAATGTAATGATGTACAAAAATGATTATAAAATAGCAAATGAAAATATGTAAGAGCCCAAACTTGTTAAAGATAGCTATATATATGCAACAACAAAAAGATGAGAAGAAAATATACCAGACTATTAACAATGGTTGTCTCTAGGTGGTGAGATGATAGGTAATTTGTCTATTTTCCAAGCTTTCTAAAAAAAACAAAGAATAAAAAACTTGGAAATCAAAAGAACAGTTTTTTTCTTCATATTCCTGTCCTCCAAATCTCATTCCTGACACCTTCCCTGATTACTACCCTTAGTCATTTCCCTCTCCTCTGAACTTCTACGCCTCAGTTTCTAACGCATAATCTAGCATCTGACTATACGTCGGCATACAATCTGTCCAATCAGGACCCTCACCTCCCCAGGTGGTCTGGGGGCTCCCAGAGGACATACGCAAAGGCTACATCTCCTCTTCTTTCTCCCCGAACTTGGCCCAGCCTAGCCCCACCCCAGGGACCCAAAACATTAAACCGTGGCTGAGCTGGGAAGCTGCCGTCAGTAAGGCCTGATGAAGGAAGGCAAGAATGCCCTCTGCGGCAGACATGAACTGGGGCTGGGAAGGCCTTACCGCCATGACACACTTTGGGCACCGCCAGACACCCTTGGGAATCTCAGGCAGAGGCGGCAGCAGGCAGAAGATGTGGTAGTTGTCATCACAGCCATCACACAGCAGAAGCTTGTCATCCTCATCCCCTCGGGAACACATCCGGCATACATAGGACTCGATCTGCCAGGAAAAGGAGGCAACAGTTCATCAATCGAAGCTCGTCTAGCCTTCAAACTGTCCTCCAGACAGCACCCTAGTCCACAGAGCTCTCCATTAGAAACCCACCGTGCTTGTTGGCTAGATCGTTCATTCACGGCCCTGTCACAGGCTAGTCGTGCTAGTTCTGGAGTTTAACTGCATGCACGTACCATCTCCCCAAATAAACTGGTAGAGCTGTGAGAGCAGAGTCTTTGTCGTGAAATCTCCCATTTTTAATTCAATAAACACCGAGCACGTAGGTGTTCAACACTATGCCGGACTCTGAAGTACAGCAATGGGTAAGACATGGCAGCTGCCTTCGACAGGCACACAGTACTCCAGAGACACATATTCATAAAAATTAAAAGGTAATGTGGAAACCGCCGATACCAGTTCACAGAGGGGACTAGGGGACCCTAGAGAAGGGAGCACTCAAATCGGCTGGAGATGAGGAGGGAGAGCCTTGAGGAAGAACTTCATTGAAAAGGTGACACCCAACAATGACATCTGAAACTGACTGAAAGCTGAAGGCAAACTGAAGTTTGGCAATGGGGCAGAGCCCAGGGGAAAACTCTTCCAGGTGGGAGAGATAGCAGGTGCAAAGGGACGGGGGAAAGAAAGAGCATGGTGCGTCTCAGGGGAAAAAACGAACATACCTACAAGTAGTTCAGTGTGGCTATAGCAGAGGAGTGAGGTGGGCAGTGCTGGGGAATGAGGCTAGAGGTCAGCAGGGGCTGGATCATGCATGGTAATGAGGAGCTTAGCCTTTATCCTGAAGCAATGGAGGGAGCCTCCTTCTCTGGACCCTTCCAGCACTTCCTGTTGACAGCACTTGTTCACCCTTTCTTGTCCTTTGTTCCATGTGAGTTGGCCTTGTTTCCCCAATTAAGTGAGCTACCTGAGGGCAGGGCCCATCAGGCCCACTTTTCTGCTTAATGCAACCTGGTCCAGAGCCATGCTGGGGAAATGCTCGCTGAAGGGATGAAAAGCAGAGCATTAAGAAGTCAGGGCTGGGTCCTTACAAACTGGGCATTGCTGTGGTTCCTCCGCAGTCTCATGGTCATCTTGGTGCAGGGCTCTGGGCTGTGACTCAGCTCCTCCTTGCTCTCCAGGAAGGTCTTAGGTGAGGTTGACTCCACCTTCACATCCCCGCCTGACTCCTCCTTCACCACTACGGTGGGGGGACACTCAGGCCCTTCCTTATCTGGGAGAGGGAAGAGGGGCTCTAAAGTACAGGTCTAGAACAGTCAGGGCCCCGCCTCCTCTCCCCAGGTGAGGCCATCCTTCACACTGCCCCAGCCTGTCAGGCCTTACCTTTCTTCCGCAGGGTCTTATCCTTGGCCATGAGGCCCAGGCCCATCATCTTGGGGCCTGCCCCATAGATCTGTAGCTTCTTCAGCTCCGGATTCTTTTCAATGTCTTCCTCCGTGGGTTCCGGCTGGGAGGGAAAAAGGAAATGAATCAAGTCTGCTATGTGAGGCAAACTGCCCCATCCTAAAAGAACAATAGCTTGGACTATATATCACTTGAGCTCATGCCAGGAGGCACAGGCAGGCCTGGGCAAGAATTCAGAGCTGCTTTTTGGAGACTAGGGTTAAGTGAGCTCCCCCATTATCCCTCTCTTGGAAAGAAATTAAGGTGGAATTTCAGTTTTCCCAACTGTAAAATAAGAATATTAACTCCTACCTTACAAGCAGGTTTACAAAAGGGTTTGGGGATAACATATAGAAAGAAATCTAACAGTGTGTGGCACTACCAATAAACGGCAGTGACTAATACGGTCTACTAAATGACATGCTTTGGTGAGCCCAGGGACAATGTCTGTCTTGTTCTCTGTTGTATCCCCAGTGCCTAGAACAATGCCTGGCACATAAGCTTCTGCCTGAAGCTAGGATATAGGTATAAGGGAAAAGAAGAGGTCTAGCCCTAGGAGCAGAGTGAGTCCGGAAAGAACAAGACAGGCAAAAAAGGGCAGACACAGAAAAGCTATTGTAGGAGCAGATCAAGACCCAGCTCAGAAGCTCAGCTGAGAGTAAAGGAAAGAGCAAGAGTGTAGCCAGAGGGGGGCACACTACTGCTCAGATCTCAGAGAACAGAGTGAAGGGAGAGTGCAACAGGGAACAGAACTCTGGTCAGAACTTTGTGGACTCCCACCCCCGAAGCTCTCAGAAGTACTCACATCAGGCTGCAGCCTCTTGGCCCGCCGGCCATAGCTATTGAACTTGGAAGGCTGCACAGACTGTCGAAGGGGGATACTGTGGGGTTTGTATTCCTTGTCCTTTTCCTCATTATCAAATGGGCGTGTGTTGCACTGCTGGGGACAAGTGAGGAGTAAGGGTCAGGGTATGGGGCTGCAGCCCCCAACGATGCCTTCCCTCTATCCTTACCCAGTGGCAAACAAAACTGTGGCTGCACCCACCTGACCCACAACAATAGGCCCTGCTCAACTGGTCATTACCAATGACACCAGCACACACTTTGAGAATTCTTCTCTTGCCTTTGCTTGTGTCATTCCACCTTCAAACCGCCTCTCCACAAGCATCTCTCTAACTCAATCAGATGCCATCTCTTCCCAGACCTCTCAAGCCCCAAATGTCTCTCCCTCCTTGGAATTCCTTTATCAGTTACCATCTTGTCACACAGTGGATAGTAGGTTGGCCCTGTGGGCAACTCCAGGACCTCTGACCCTGGGCAGCATGGGAAAAGAATAGGCACCACTAGAAAAGGGCAGAGTCTAGCTCCCAGGTCTCCAGCCCACTGAACCAGTTCCATTAAGAGCAAGTATGAGAAATCTGCATCTGGTGGCGGGGAAAGGCTTCTTCCACCCCAGCCTGGCATCCTTACCACCAGGTTGGCTCCAGACTGGTACATCTCATAGGGATAAACGATGCGTTCATAGTGGGAGCGTAGCAGGGAGCCAATGTTTTTGCCTGGTGGGTAGTTGAGGCGCTGGGCCACCCGGGCCCACCGACGGTCTTTGCAGATGGCTTCATAGCCACCTTCCTCCACCACGATCTGCAGGGACAAGCAGGAAGGGATGTGGATGTGCTGTGTGTATGTACATAAGGGAGTTGGCCTGCAGAAAGGGTGATGAGGACAACTCCAGCCCCTCACCTCACTGGGGGCTATCCCCTCCTCCTACCACCACCACTCAGGTTCAAACTGCAGTGAGAGATGCCAAGAAGTTCCGATGACAGCTCATGTGTTACGAGGCTGTGCCCCTTTCACTGCAGCATAGAAATCTAATATCCCAAACCAAGGGAGCCCCCAGAGTATGAAGGATATTAAGGGGTGGGGAGGGGTTTGAGAAAAGCCTTTCTTACTTTACTGAGGCTGTAGAGGTCTAAGATCCGCCGTTCTACATTGGGAATCTTTAAGGAGGAGCCCTGGATTTCCCAGAATTTGGCAATCTGGTCCAAGTAGTTCAGCTTCACTCTTGTCTGGGCCTGGAAAAGAAATGGCTCAAAGAGGCCGGCCTCCCCCTCCACCTGAACCCTGTCTTCTGGCCTAATCTTACGAGGGGAGAAAGGGTACAGAGCAGCCCACCATCCAGGGCTTTTCCCAGTGAAATGGGTCCCAAACTCTAGGCAGTGCTTAGCCCACCTCTCTCTCATCTCTGCCACCTTCTAGGCAATAGGATAAGCCCAAGGTCCCAACACAGAGAAGGTCGAGTCACAAGAGCCACAGTTTTACATGCACACCCTCTCAATCTCCCTGACAGGGCTGTGTGAGTATCATCGTCTCTTTTACAGAGAGCCTCTGCTTCCTTAAGTCACAGAGCAGGTACCAAGAGATCCGAATATCAAATAACTTAAGTTTTAGCTATTCCCTGCTACTGATTTGCTGTAGAGCCTTGAACAAATTGGTTCTACTCTCTGGACCTCCATCTTCTGATTATAAAAGGGAAATAAAATAACTGCCCAGTCCACTTATTCCAGAAAGGTGGACTTACAAGAAAGACAGTGAAGGTCCCTCTGGAACCTCCAAAACTGCATCTAAGCTCTAGGCATGTTTCAGAGATTGAAGGCTCCAAAAGAGCACATTTAGTTCTTCTTTATGCACCACAAAACTTGTCCCATGGTGGCTGAAGGCTGAGAGTGCATGCTGAAGAACTAAGAGATAGTGTACCAAAGCAGCACTAGCACCTGGCCAACCCAGGTCCACATCGGGTCCGAGGATTCTGGGAACAAGGCATGTACCATGCTTCCCTGAAATTGCAGTGACCCAAGAAAGGCTCCCCAAGGTCCCAAGTCTAGAACCACCTTGCATGGGTCAGAGGGCCTGATTCTAGGGAGAACTAGAGAAGTCATTACCATTCACCACCTTGCTCAGATCCCATTAGAGGAACAGAAACAGTTCTCTTTCATAGATTGGGAAAACTAAGGTCTATTTGTAGAAAGAAACAACCTATGGCTCTTTAGCTGTGAGAACCTGGAAGAGGCCAAGAACTCTACTCCCTCCACTTTAACTCCTTAGCTTTCCAATCTCATCCCTGCTCTTCCCCATCATTAGCCAGCACAGTATCTCTAGAAAACCTGCTCTTGTCCCATGCTAGATGACATCTTGCACTAGCTGTACCCCCACAGACCTGGTCAGATCCATTTCTTTAAGAAACTTATACCCCCCTCCATGAGAAGACTTTTGATCTGACTAGGACAGCACATAGACTCACTCGAGAACAGTGGTTCTCAGTGAGGAGAACAATTTTGCATCCCCCCCCGCCCCAACCCAGGAGACATTTAGCAATGCCTGGAGACATTTTTCGTTGCCATTACTGGGAGAAGGTATTACTGGCATCTAACACAGGTGGAAATAAGCCTGGGATGCTGATACACATCCTAAAATGCACAGGACAGCCCCTCCACGACAAAAAATTATCTGGGCCAAAATGTCAATAGTATCAAGGTTGAGGAACTGTGGTCTAGAAACAAGTAAGCCTTTAGGTCATAGGTTTCCAGTCGGGCCTAATATGTCCCCTCCCCAGGTCATCCAGTAAGGTTCCTGGATATGTAACAGTGAGGTAGAAAGGTGGCAGCAAACTTCTAAACCACATCTTCTGTGGGAAACTCCAGGATCTTCCCTGGAACTGGCTTCAAAGCACCCACTCTCATGACCCCAGGGCATTCTCAAGCCCTTAGTGGAGAACCTCACCTATCCATACAAAGGGCCTGGACTTCCTGCAGAACAAAAGAGAGGGAAAAGCCTACCTGCCTGACCCCGGTTCAAATTTATAACCATTCTAGCCCCCATACGGACCGGTTCTTGTGTTGTTCCTGACCATCTACCTCGCATCCCACCTTACCAAGCCCCACAGAAGGAAGGTAGGAAGCACAGGGCTGTGGATGAATTGGATAATGAGGCCACATTCAGCTGGCCAAGAAAAGGCCTCAGCCAACCCATTTCCCTTTGTTGACTCAGGTATGGTAGGTTAGCTGGCAGGAGAGCTTCAGAAGTAGCAAAGCTTTAGGGAAACGGACATGCCCAGTCTTTGAGCTATCACACTGGAGATGCTAAATGCTCCTGCTCTTGGTTATATTCCGAGCTCTAAAGCTTCCTCCATGACCTCCATGCAACTTCACAGAAGACAGAATAAAGGTCGAGTCGGGGAAAGTACCTTAGCCCGAGAAGGAATGAGGGAAGTGGGATCAGAGCTCAGGTATCCATTCACCCAACCCCACCACCAGCTGCTAGTTTTCTCACCTCTAGTTCATTCAGCCTCTGGATTCGGGGAGTAAACCTGAAGTTGTCCACTTCTACAGCAAAGGGTGGCTGCCAGTCCTGGGGTACAGAGGGGAAAGGGAGTTGGGTTATTCCAGCACAGTGTAAGACCAGAGGGCACCACAAGCAGCTCAGCATCCCATTTGTGCCTTTCCAGACCTCTGGCCACCCCAGACCCTCTAACCTGACAAACACCCAACCCACTACCCACCCCCCCGAACTCACAACAGGGCCCTAGCAGCCCCTCAAGTCCACACTCAATGCCCAAAGCACATGTCCTGGGAAATTTCTCCCAAGTCCCTTCCAACAGTACAGTGCCAGGATTTCAAGAAATAGAGAGATGGGGCCCAAAACAGTTGACCCCAAACTCTTCCTACATCCACATTAACTCCTTGTTCCCCAGGCATGTGCTGTAGGACACAGGCTGGAAGTACTGGTAAGCACAAAGGATCTGGAGTCAGAAGACTTTGGTTCATGTTCTAGCTCTGCTACTTACGAGCTATGGGATTTTACTTTTCTGAGACTGTTTTTCTCATCTGTAAGGTGGGAATATGAACACTTGCCCTGGCTTCCTCATAAGACTGATATGGAAAATTAAACTGGTTTTCAAATGAAAATGTTATCCAAAGGAGTCGTCCTTAAAACTTGATATCTTAAGCTGACCCCACACATGCAGGGTAGCTCAGCTCCAATTCTGGCAGGATTTAAAGGTTTGGGCCTTTAAAGTCTGTTCTCTCAGTTTAAAGGGCCTGAGACAAACACTGCGGGGGAAAAGCAAGAATCTGCATCACTTGCCCAGTCTGGAAGGCTTCCTGTGGGTCCTCTCTCAAACACCTGCCCAGTACAGGAAGAGTCGGGGTGGGGGGGTGGGGGGTTTAGTGATGGAATACCCAACTGTGGTGGCAAAGAATGGGAGGATTTGGGGAGGAGGAAGTAAGTCAGGGAAAGATAATGAAAGTGGGGGGGTGACTCTGCCCTGCCAAGTTGGAGCTTGTTGTGTCCTACCCAAAGGGTGGCTGCGGAGAGCCCCTCACTGATGCCCTTTCCCCCCCAAAACCTCCCATGCAGTCCTCTCCTCCCCAGAGCCCCGGCTCCTGCTGGAGTGGTAAGAAGAACCTAGAGTAACCTAGACCAATGCCCTCATTTTATGAATGGGGAAAGTGAGGCCCAGAGAAGAAATGCGATTTCTCCAAAATTACATGCTGATTTAGTGGCAGACCCAAAACTAGAACCGATGTCTTCTGACCTCCAGTCCAAGGCTCTTTGCACTACACCAGGATACCAGTGTTCACACACACACACACACACACACACACACGCATACATATGGAAGCGGGCAGTAGTAAAAGAGAAGAAAAAGCTGCTGGCCTCTTCCGCACACACTTTTAGAAAAGAGGCCAGAGGACTCATACTTGCATGCACACATACTCCCCCCAAGCCCCCAGCTGAAGCAGGTTTTCAGCAAACACCTGAGGCTCAGTGAAGCATGGGAAAATTAAAAAAAAAAAAGGAGAGAGAGACAGAGGGAGAGAGAGAAAACACTAAAATGGTATGGCTCAAGCCCAGACCAGCTCCCCGTGCCCTCTTGCCACCTATCAGTAGGGCACTCCCCTCAGTGCAGGTAGAAAGGTACTCAAACCCAAAACTCCAGGCACCCTTCTTCCCTGCTGAATCAAGTTCTAGATAAGTACACCATCAAGCAACCTGACAGGAAACAGCAAAATCGAATCCTAGAGCAGGAGCTGTAGATGCAAGATAGTTGGGGAAGGTCCAGCAAACCTCCCGGCCCGGCTCTCCCTGGGACCTACCTACGAGCTCCCTCATCCTGCCTTCGGTCTCATACACTTGTGTGCCAAATACACCAGTATGATCAGGATGGTGATAAAAAAGTTGGCTACCTGATGCAGGAAGCAAGGCCCTTCCAAGATCCCCTGGGTCTACACCAGGGTACCAACACTTTTCCTCCCACCCATCTTCCCCAAGACTAGTAGTAGTCAACCGTCTAGCAACTCAAAACCCTAATCACCCTTCCTCAGGCAAACCTCCAATTTCCAAGCACCCACCCATACACAGGTTCCCACTCTGGGCCCAAGCACCACTTGGACGAGTGCTTCAAATTCCAGCTACAAGGCCTGGCTGCCTAAAGGTGGCGTAGGAGCGGCCCTACAGGAGGAAAAAAACTGAACAAAACCAGGGAGACCAGGTCTCCTGGATCGGAGGGAAGCACACTATTGAGGTAGAGACGAGAAGCACAACAAAAGATGGCCCCCTGCAGGTCTGCCTCTCTCCCTCTCTCCCTCTCCCTCTCTCTCTCTCACACACACACACAGACGCGCACACACAGACGCACGCACGCGCAGGGGACATGTCACTTTTCCCCTTCCTGGTCCCCCAAGGAAGGGTAACAACACCTGCACAAGGCCAGCCTGCCCGTAAGTCCAAGGCACAAACATGGAAATGCAGGCCTCAGGCACCCCCTATGTCAGATACACTTCTTTCCCACAGGTCTCCTGGATCACTACAGGGAGTGCCTCCTTAAGGCTGCCCCGGACTCTAGCCTCTCCTTTCTGCTAGCCTTCCTGACTTCTCACTACCTAATACCACTCCTTCACTATGAATAAGGATACCTCAGAGATCTGTGGCCAGGCTCCAACTAGGAAAAAATTAGCTTACCCAACACCTCCCAGAAGATCCATTTGAAACTAGCCTACATCTGTGGATGAACACCAGAAAACACCAAGCTGGATAAGGAGGCCTGTGGTGCCCTCCTCAGGTGGCAGTGAGGCTTCCCAGCCCTTTTCAGACAGGAGACACCCACTCAAAAACACCCTGTTCCAAACTCAATTCCTGCCTTTGGAATCCCAAGTGGAGACGGAACAACACATATCATTTCTCCTCCATGCCAGCAAGGTGGCAGCCTATCCTAGCCCTTGGGGGACTTCCTGCGGCCTGAAGCCAGGCCTAGGAACAAAGATATGCCCTTTGTCGTTGACCTCTGGGAATCAAGTGTTCTACAGGAGACAGACTTCCATAGCTCCATTCTGTTTTTAGGAGTCCAAGAATCCCCTATCCTCTGGGACCTGCTACATCCTGGGACAGAACATAGTACAAATCTGAGGAGGACTCATACCCCACTGTCAAGCTGACTGGTCCAAGCCTATCCATAGAAGTCAAGTCTAGGGGGTGATGTGCAGGGAAGGATATTGCCTTCAACTAGGAAAAGGGGACAATTCCCTAAACCCATCTCAGGGGAGTCAGATACAACATTCCCTGTGAGACTGATTTCCTGACTGATCTGCCAGGACATTATCATAGATGGATTGGTCTGGCAGGGTGTGAGTAAATATGAGTCAACCCACATAGAAGCAAACCAATGACCACATCAAACACCTTCGCAGTCACAATAATTATCTAGCGCCTACTACACACAGACTCTACCTAGTTTAATCCAATTCTCGAAATAACCATTCACGGGACTCATTTCACAGGCTGAGAGAGATTAAGTTACTTGTCCAAGGTCACACAGCTGGTAAGCTGCACTGTGGAATTTTGAACTAAGGTCTGTCTCCATTTACAGCTGTGGTCTTTCCACTACACCACACTGCCTGCCTTAAGGGAAGCGATGACAATAAACGGAAAAATGGCCTTATTCAGTGCAGCCTTGACCTGGGTGGTCCAGGGTAACTGAGAGATATGCAGGTACCTCTCTGAACTCTCCCCGGCCCACCAGGCATCCCTGTTTTGAACCTTACCAGGAATGAATCTGAAAGGCGGAGTGGAAGCGAGGGTGGGTCTCTGACCCCCTGGTACCTTGGGTGCCTCACACCACGAGAGGACCCCCCCCGGGCCCCATCACCCTTTCTCCGACCCCGCGCCACATCCACAGCGGTCCCAGCCACCCCATTTCCCCGCACCTCGAGATGCCCCCTCCGCCCCAGAATTCTCAGCCAGCTACCCTAGTTCTTCATCCCCGGCATCGTGGGCGGCGACCACAGACCCCGGGCCTTACCGCGGGTGGGCGGATCTTGCAAATGCCCGACTTCTCGGCGATGGGCCGGATTTTCGCGATGTAGCCTAGAGGGTCTCGGAACTCAGCCCAGCTAGGCTCGAACACCGGGCACTCCGGCGGCGGCAGGAAGTCGTCGGACCCCGGCTCCATGGTGGGCCCTAGGACTGGAGGGCTCGGACCACCCTTAAGGACTCATGGCGGACGCCGCTGTATGAAGCCGAGGCACTGCTCGGGGACTAGGCCCTAAGCGGGGTGGCCGCCGCCCGCCGAGGGCCTTGGGGGGCGTGTAGCTGCCGCGCTCTGAGAGGCTCAGGCTGGCGCTACTGCTACCGCCTCTTCGTCCTGCTCCGTTCCTTCCAAACTCTGCCGCTGCCTCCCAACTACCTCAGCCTTCACCAATACAGTTACCTCCCAGCCGCCACGGCCTTCACCGCCGCCGCCGCCATCTTGGTTTGTCAGCGTCTCCCCCCCTCCCCACACCACAACAAACCGAATCCCTCCGCGGTGTGTCCCTCCGAGCCTCGTATACCGTGCGTGAGGCCAAGCCCTAGGAAACTTTCATCCCGTGGGGACCGAGCTGAATCTCATGTGTAGGTTCCCTAATTGGAAGCGGGAACTCAAAAGTACCTCCCAGACTGAGAGCAAATAGTTCACCTCGGCGGCGGAGGAGCAAAATTGTAATTAAACTGCCGGATCCTCTTTCCGGATGGACCGGCGGCGCACGTTTAAAGGCCAGTGGTGCGCATGCGCGTTATGAAGACAGACCGGAAGAGGAGCTGGCGTTGGTGGGTGGTGGGCCCAAACTGGCTCCCCCTCTATGACCTCAGCTCTGGCGCGGGCCCCGCCCCAACATTTTCTTCTTCAGGGTCTTTCCGGTGTGGGCCGCCGAAAGCGGCTTTGGGTGCCTGATTGCTAAGGATCCCTTATGCCGGCAAGCATGTTGGGAAAGACTTAGGGAGCTCCCAGCTCTAGGCGCGGATACCTCTGGGGCTTTGAAACAAGGAGAGCAAGCTGCTGCTCACCCCCTGGGGATTATGGATTTTTAGAATTCTGGGTCCCAAGGAGAGGAAGGAAATATATATTTCATCCATGGTTATGTGCAGAGGCCTCTCGGAGATGGGGCTTCCATTCATACCCCGCAAAGAGTCATTGTCAGTCAGCATTTTACTGAACTCTTTGAACTGTTTCTGTATGCACTTTTATTGTGTGCACATTTGCAGAATGGACTCCCATAAACTAGGCCTGAGTGTATATATATTTTCATTGTTGGATGTTTAACAACAGCATATTTACCTATCGCATACTAGCGCCTACTGTATGAAACAGCATTTGTGAGCCCACAGCGTACTTATCAAACATCTGTGTACATGGGTTGTATTTATTGTGTTTAGTCCCTGTCACATGCATTTGAGTACCTACTACGTGTACATCTACTCCTATTGTGTGCATGTTCATTGAGCAGTTTCTGAATAGGTTTATGGCAACTAGTTTGAATATCAGACCAGTACTTTGCCCACACATCAGGCATCTGCTGCATTTGAGGATTATGTTATTTCTTGGTTGTGGGCCTATTGCATACACTTTGAACACCTGTGCACATGTTAAAGTACATGTATACATGCTGATTAAATGCTTATTTTGTGTTCCCCCATCAGACTGAATTCCTTAAGGGCAGGGACCATGTGGCTTTATACATCCCTAGCACTTGTCATGGTAAGCAGTAAATGTTGAGTAAACAAAAGAAAAAACGAACGTATATTTTTGAGCATCCTTAGCATATATTGACTGAAAATAATACATGCTCTTTGCAAATACTTCCTGTGTATATTAAGCATCTGTTACAAGCTTGAATATGTTTGAAACAGGAACAGTTAACTGTACCATGTCCCAGTTAGGTACATCATTTTGCCTACTTCAGGACTGAGCTGAAGACATCCTGATAGAGCAGTGCACACCAGTAGGAGCTCACATCCTAGTGTCAGATAGGCCTAATTATTTTAATTATTATTAATCTTTGCAATTTCCCTTAACCTTTGTCCCGGGAAAGATGTAGGTTAACTTACCCATTCTGTAGATGAGGAACTAAATTCTAGAAAGATTAAACAACTTGCCTCCTATTGCCCAGGAAGTTGCTACCTCCTGGTCAAATGCTCTTCCTATCATTTGCTCTCACCAGGAATAGGACCAGGTAGAAGGGCGAGGAGAATGCAGAAGGTGGGAGATATGCCAAATCCTAGGCTGAAGGCAGGTCAGCCTTTCCATCAAATGCAGCTCAGTGAAGGGCAAAGAAATGAATAAGGAGTCAGGAGACCAGGTTTGGGGGCTCAGCTCAGCCCACACATCCCATAGCCTTCTCTGAGGTCCTTAGCCCAGACACCACACCCACCATCTTGGAAGGGCAAATGGAGATTGCACAGAGTCTTTGAAGCCAGTCGGATCTAATTCATTCATTCACAAATATTTATTAAACTCCTCTTATGCACCAGGCACTCTTCTGAGCCCTGGGAATATGATGGTGACCAAGACACATATGGTCCCTGCTTTCCTGAAGCTTACATTCACCAACAGAGATCTGCCGAGTACCTCTTCTTCCTTAGCCTTGATTTTCTCATTTATCCAATGAGGCTCTGTAATCCCTTCCTCACAGGGTAGTTATGAAGATTAGAGATAATGATAACTGCCATTCATCAAGGGCCAAGGGCTATGAAATAGGTATTGTTATCCCTGTTTTACACATTAAGGGGACTGAAGCTCAGGGAAGTGTGAACTTACCACAGCATGTGGCTAGTAAGTGGCAGAGCTGTAATTCAAACCCAGGTCTGTCTGACTGCTGCACAATTCTGCCTGTAAAAGTTTCAGATGGTGCTCCCCCCCGCCCCAGCCCCAGTGAGGTGCTCAGGAAATGGGTTCCTTTCCCAACCCTTGGGTCATGCTGGAGATCAACCTGCATCCGGGCACTGCAGAGTAAAGAACTGATAAGCACCAGGGAGCTCACCCTGGGCTGGGGGCTATGTCGGCCTCACCCACCCACCTGGGAGAGAGAGTCTGGCATGGAGCCAGTGCAAAGCAGTGATTGGAAGCCTAGGCTGGGCTCTCCACCACCCTCACCCCATCCGTGTTTTCTGAATGGACAGGATGAGAGTGACTCTGTACCTTACTTTTTTGATTTGTAAAATAGGGTCCCTTCTAGTTCTGAAGCAGGTATGAGCTGTGAGTTCTAACTCCTGAATACCTCTGGAATCCATTCCCTCCTCCCTCTACCATTGTCTATTCTTCTATTCCCCTGAGAGCCACTTACTGTCTCTAGCCTGGATTATTAAAAGAGCCTCCTCAAGGTATCAAGGTATCTGTGTGAATTCATGGATATATCCATACACATAACAATAAAATGATATATTCAAAATAAAATTCCAAATGAATTATGATAGTGGATTATAACTCATTGAAGAGTGAAACAAAAATCCATGACTCCACACTGATATACATAAATAAAATGAGGGAAAAAGGAAAGCTTTTCCTTAAAGGAAGGATGGAGTGAGAAGATCATCAACAGATGTTCAGACTTTTTCCAAGCAAAGAAATAAATTCTTAAAACATAGCTATAACACTGAAATCTTGGCCCAAATCTTGCTTCCTAAATGCCATTCTCTACTAAAAAGAACCAGGGCTCCTTAGAAAAAGTGGCTGATTCCAAGACTGGGGCAGGGAAAGTACATGATGGGCCTGGAGCATCTTGTGGTGCCAGAATACAAGGAAGTGCTCAAAAAAAAAAAAAAAAAAAAAAAGATGGAGCCCTGCCAAAAGGACATAAGAGCCAGCTCCCAGAGGGCCTCCTGCTGGCCAAATCTGGGGCATTTTGAACGTCATAATAAAGAATGATACTAATGTGTCCCCCCCATCAACGGGGGATATTTACATAATCTCAACGTCGCTCTCTACGAGTTGCTCATTTACTACAAAGGGGAAAAACAGTAACTTTACAGTGGGGAACACTGTGTAGCTCAATGTGCCACCGGGTCTTCCTTTAGGTCCTCATGAGGCTCGGGTGAAAAAAAACCTATTGGCAACAGAGGAAAGAAGGCACACTGCCTGCCAGCCTCCGGGCTCCGGAATATGCCGTGCCTACCACCTGGGCATCCGTCTCCCATTCCTTCTCACTGTGCCACTAACAGATCACACACTCACACACCTCCACGCCTTTGTATACCCTGCTCCCTCTGACGAATGCCCTTCTTTACCAGGGTGATTCCTACTCACCTTTCGAGACTCAGCTAAAGGGGCAGTTCCTTCCTTGCCCACCCACCCCCACCCCCAAGTTGGGTTTTCCCCTTCTCTGCACCCCTTCTGGGCAAGGGTGCTCTGCTCCCTTCTGGGCCTGTACTTAGTATCATATGGCATGGACATTATCCCTGCCAGGCTGTTCCCTGCTGAACTTGTCTTGTCCTGCTCTGTCTAATATGGTAGCCACCACCCACACGTGGCTATTTCTATTTAAATTTAAAAAAAAAATCAGTTCCTCGGTTGCACTGGCCACATTTCAAGTGCCCAATAGGCACATGTGCTAGGGGTTACTGTACTGGACAGCACAAATATAGGACATTTCCATCATCCCAGAAAGACTTATTGGACAGCACTGGTCTAAGACAAAGAACTCTGTGAGAATCTAGGACCTTTGTCCTTTGTTATGTGTTGCCCCTTCCCATCCACATCCCCAAAGAGACTGGCAGTAGAGCCTCTGATGGCCAGACAGCCACTGGGCTTCTTGTCTTCAGGCCCTCAAAGAAATGGGGAGGCGAGGAATCAAATTACCCCTCCTCCACAGTCTGGATGGTGAGGCTCCGGGGAGTTGGGGGGGGGCAGGGGCAGGGACAGCCCAGTGCTGGTGCTGCAATGAGGAGGGGCAGGGAGAACATAGGAAAGAGCTGAAGGAGGCACGAAGAGGTCCCAGGGGGCCCAGAAGCTCGATACGCAGGTTGCACCAATCAGTAAACCAACCAATGCAAAGATACCTTACTCTAAGAGTCAGCTTAGAAAGAACTATACATTCATTCAAATCAACAGAATTTCCGTGTTATCTGTGCTGTGCAACGCTCTGAACAGCGATGATTCAGACCGTTGTCATTCTTGAGCCACTTAGGGCCTGGTGGGGAAGAAAGATAGCGACATGAAGGATCTCAGAGGATGTGATCAAGGGCACATTTTGTGAGGGATGGGCCTTTTAAGCCCATCTCAGCAGAGTGAGGAAAACTTCCTCAGGGAGGCTGGGGGGGGGGGAGCACTTTTGGCGGGGGTGGGGGCAGGCACAGGTAAAATACGGAGCCGGAAAATTACGCACAGGCCTTCTCAGGGAACAATGAGTGGGTGGTCGAGGTGTGGGCGAGGAATGAGGATGAGGAGTTCGACTGGGGCCGCGTGGTGGAGGACCTCCAGTGTCAAGACAAGGAGTTTGCGTTCGTTTCTGTAGGTGGCAGAGAACAGCTTTACTGTGTGTCTGGCAGGAGGCAGGCATTTCACATGCATCTGTTAACAATTTCCCTGCAAGATTATTACCCCTATTATACAGGTGAAAGACCAGGCTCTGAGGGGCTAGGTGATTTGCCAAAGGCAACACGGTCAAGTCTGAGACTGAGCCAGGATTCGAGTGCTAACAG